TTTTTATTTCTTTTTTTTTACTCATTTCTTTTTTAGTTTTTTTTTTCTGTTTTTTTGTTTTATCTTTTTTTTGGTTTTTTTTCACTTTTTATAGTTTACTTTTTTTTGGTTTTCTTTTTGTTTTAAACTAAACTATCATGCTTTTTTCTTTCTTCTATATTAAATTTAGTTGTTTTTATGAGTCACATTTGGTGCTATTGTCACTGGTGTGTTTCGTCACTTTCTTCAGTATCTTTGCTTTCTTTGATATATTCATTTTCTTTGGTGTGTTCATCACTTTGTTATGTATTCACCTCTTTAGTATATGTTCATCTTTTTGGTGTATATTTGTTTCTTCAATGTATTTTTGTTTCTTTGGTGCATTTTTATTTTTTCAGTATGTTTTTATTCTCTTTAATATATTTATTCTCTTTGGTATATGTTTGTCCCTTTGGTATATATTTGCCTCTTCAGTATGTGTTTGTCTCTATATATTTATTTTTTTGATATATTTTCATTTCTTCAGTGCATTTTTGTTTTCTTTAGTATGTTTATTTTCTTTGGTATATTCGTCCCTTTGTTGTGTATTTGTCTCTTCAGTATATATTCACTACTTTGGTGTGTATTTATTTCTTTGCTATATATTCATTTTTTTGATATATTTTTGTTTTTCAGTATATTTTTATTTTTTTCAGTGTTTTCATAATCGTTTTCATTATTGGAGTTGGGTAAGTTTATCATTTTTGGTTATAATTTTTTTTTATAATTCTAATATTTCTCTTCTAGACACAATTTTGTTATTGAAGTTGTGAAGTATTAGATTTGTCAGTATAAGTTTATCATTTTTGAATTATTTAGTGCTTTTTGTTTTTTATAATCATTAATACTTCTTTTTGTTGTTGGGGTTATCGATATTAAAACTGTTAATATCGTTACTTGTATACTATTCATTGGTACTCACTTTTGTGTGAATTAGTTTAGTTTTATATTAGTACTAGTTTTATTATGCTGATACAATTCATTGTATATACTTGTTTTTTTTTTTTTTTTTTAATTGTTATTATAAAGAAGACATGCCTATTTTGACGTAGCTAATATTTTCAATAAATATCACATGATATATCGATCAGAGCTAGATAATTTTAGTATCATTCGATTCATCTCATCAAGACGAATCAAATAGTACCAAAATCATCCAATTCTAATCACTAAATCATGAGATATCACTTATTAAAGGTTGTCTAAAAAATATGTTCCTAATTTAATGTAGTGTCTAATTTGATGCAGGTATAATGTTTACAATAAATATTATGGAATATATTAATCAGAATCACAAGATTTTAGTACCATTCGATTTGTCTCGATGAGACGAATCGAATAATACCAAAATCTTGCAATTCTGGTTGATACATCTTATGATATTTATTATAAATATTTATTTGCGTCAAATTAAATATATCTACCTTGGGCTATTTTGGTTAAATAGAGTATCTCGAGAACTATCAATCAGAATCGCATGATTTTGGTACCGTTCGATTCATCTCGATGAGACAAATTGAATGGTACTAGAATCATGCGATTCTGATTGATGGTTTTCGAGATATTGTCATACGTCAAATTAGGCACTGCGTTAAATTAGGCATGCCTCCCTTATATTACACTTTTTTTTTAATCAATAAAAGTTATACTTAATTTTTATTAGTTGAATAAAATATATATTTTTATTAGAGAGAATAAGATAGGCTATCTTTAAGTTTTTATTTCTAAAGAATTCTATAATATTACAAGAAAAAATTTAGAGAAAAAGAAAGTCTAGGTCTAAAAGATAGACAATGCAAGTCTAATATTAACTTAAGAAAATTTATATTCTTTTTATATCTTTAGAGCTAATTGCTAATCATTGTAGCTAAACGTAGTTTACTTAGTGCTAAGCAAAAATGTAATTGATAATTATTAAGCATTAAGCTCTAATCATAATCTCTAAGTATAATTGTTAATTGTTAATCGCTAAACGTAATTACTAATCGCTAAGCGTAATTGCTAATCACTAATTATTAATCGTTAAGTATTAAGTGTTAAGTACTAAACATAATATATGTCTTGTAAATTCTATTCTAATAATAATAATAACTAAATAATAAAATAATAAATAATAACTAATAATTATATAAGAACTTAATTAGGTATCGCAACTCTGCGATGTGCTTATACATCATATTTTATTAACTAACCAATCAAATTTCAAGATTAAGTATAATGTACGTGATCAGAAATTTCAAAACAAATATTCGTTTTGTCAAAAGTTGCTTATAACTCAAAATTTCATATACAGATGGTAATAAATGCAAACATATTGCGCAAATATTTGAAAAGGTAAGTTTATGTTTTACAAATACAAATAAATTTTTTTATTTCTTATTAAATAAAATAAAAAAATAATTTTTTAGTCAAAAAAAGACTGAAAGATGGTAAGAATATATCTAATTATATAATTAACAAGATTTATAAGTATTTTAAAAATTTTTTTTTTTTAACATATTGGCAGCCTTGCCGGTATCTTTTATTAGATTAAAGCTAATGTAATACATTATATATTATCTAAGTTGCAGATCTGATATCACTTAGCTTCCTCTAAAGGTGTCCAAGTGTGGTCTGCCGTACTGGTTAAGGCTATTGTTTGTCTCGGAAGCTATACCAAGCTAGCCTAGAAAACTATCAAAAGTTGGTTTCAAAATAAAAGAATTTCTAACTAAATTAAATTGGCAATTTTTTTTTCTAAACTATCCTCCTTTTTGAAACAATAAACTAAATCTATTTTTCTAATAAACAAAATAACTTCCTCTTTTGAAACAAGGTTATTGCCAAGATTCTTTTATTTGTATTTGGGTTTCCTTTTCCTTTTTTTTCAATTCAATCTATCTTTTTTAATTAGAGATCTGGCTCTTAGAAGTCTTCTTATATCCTTCTCTATGAACTTTTTTTTATATTTCAAAGCTTCATATCTTCTATTTTCCTCTTGAGGGCTTGATTTATATATTTCTTTCTGTAGTATTCTTCTGTAGATTCTCTCTTCTATCAAGTGTCTTGAGTCTTCTTTTGGTTTCTTCATCTCTAGATCGTGGTTAATCTGCCCAAGTATTTTCCTCTCCATATTTAGGGTATGAGAGCTTTCTCTTTTCTTTTTCTTAGACTTCTTTTCTTTTCTTTTCTTTCTAGATTTCAGTTTTCTTTCCAAGAATTTTTCTTATAGTTCATTAAAAATCTTCTGATCTCTAAAGTGTTTTAAAAAGATCTTCTTTAGTATTTTTAATAACATATCCTTTTTTTTCTTTTTCCAATTCTTGGCACCCCTTGGTCTAGGTGCTAATGTATCTTAATGTAGATTTGTATTCAAGTTCTATTGAGTTTTCAGCCCATGTATCTATCTTGTAAGCAGATCTTTCTTCTTCTTTTTCTATATTTTATTACTATAATGAGAATTTTTTATGCTTAATTGGTATATTACTTCTGTCAGCCATTCTTCTGGAGTTGTTAATACGATTTCAGATCTTGATTCCTCTTAAATCTTGTTTAGTGTCTTTGTTTCTATAAGATCTGGGATATCTTGTTTCTTGTTATTATCTTGCTTTTCCTTTCTGGCTTTTCTTCTTTTTTTCCTTCCCTGGTATGCTGTGACAAATTCTATAGATACTTTAAAAAAATATTACTAGAGTCCTTAATTCTAATTTGTTATGCTGCTTTTGTCAGATTTTTCTTTGTTCTTGAAGTTTGATACTCCAACCTAGATCCAACTTTGCTTTTATTTCAGCAGCTTGTTTTTCCATTTGTTGAACTTGCATCTTTTTTTTTCTTTTTTTAATTTTCTTTTTGTTTCCTGTTGATTTGCTGTGATAGTCTTGATAGATTCTTCGACGAAATATTTCATTACTTTTAAAAGTATATAGTTCACTATAGTTACTATAGTTAACGTTAAAATTTACAAGATTCCATAATTTTGTATTTTCTTAATTTGCTATATTAATTGTCAATTAACAATATAGATAAATGCGCAAATTTAGTAATTTTGACGTTAACTATAGTTTAGTTCAATACACCAACTCATGTTGAATTTTAAGTTGGAACTTATGTTATATAGTTAACAATATGTATGATATACGTAGTCAATATGATGTCTTAATATTTTTTGTGCAGAAACTGTGCATAAACTGCACAGATACTGTACATACACTGCACAAATATCATACAAATGCCGTACAAATTTTGCACTATGTATTAGCAGTTTACTATTTTATAATATACTGCTGAATAAATTATTTATGCTCTTTTAAGATTTAATACGTAACTGTAATAAGTTGTAAATAAATAAAGATACTATATTTACAACTTACCTATTGGTTCTTTCAGAAACCTAACATCATATAGAGTGCTTTCGCACTTATGAATTTCTATAGATCCATTGTTTGGAATAGTCATGTTTTTCACAGTTGGATTTGCCAATTCTTTTTCATATTCACTTAAAAAATAATAATAAAGATCTTTGGCAGTTGGTCGTTTATCGGGATTTTGATCCCAACATAATTTCATTATATGTTGAAAGTTTTCTGGTAATCTCTCCGGCATTGTAGATCAAAATCCCCTTATAATCTCTAATAAAAGGTTTTGATCATGTTTGTGATCAAAAAAAGGAGGTTTACCTACAGTTATGTAATACATAAGCATTGAAATACTGTATATATCAGCTTTCGGTGTATAATTTTTTTCATTTAGTACTTTGGGAGCTATAAATGAAAGCTTTCTGTAAACAGCATTTCATTTTTTATTGACTAGCTCAGAAAAACCAAAGTCTGAAAGATGAAATAAATTGCCCTTTGATTTTAAAACATTTTCACCATGTAGGTCACAGTGTATGAGTTCATTTTCATGCAAGTTATATATATATTCTCTAATTTTTATTATATTGAACAAATTAGAAAAGATTTAAGTTTGTTTAATAAATTTACAAATATATGAAAAATTAACAATTATTCACCTGGAATATTATAAAAAATTTTATAAATTTCTTTCCAAGTGATGTTGTCATAGGAACTTTTAATATATGATTCTAGATCTTGTTCATAGTTAGCAAGCACAAGAATGTAATCACTAGTTTTAGTGTCTCTTGTTATGCCGTAACAGATAGCAACAGTATAACTCTCAGAACCTAGTGAAATATGAGTTTTTATCTATTGTTATGTAAAGAATATATAGAATATATAGAATATATGCACGTTATTTCTTATTAAACAATCAATTATTATTAATATTTAGAAATTTTCAATTTTCTACAATTCATATAATTACCTTTTTTAAGAATGCTTTTTCTTCTTGTTGACTATTTGAAAGGTTTTTAAGAATCACAGTAATCAGCTTTCCTCTTATAAATTCTTGTTTCTTATTATCAAATAACATTATAACGCCTGTCTTCCAAATAGTAGTAGAAATGTTAGCGAATCCACCTTTTGTTTTATACGCAACATGTTCAAGATCACTGAATGGTATCTATTCGATAATATACCTTGGAAATGGAAGCTTTCATCGGGAAATTTTTTTTACAGAAATTAATCGATATATAGCATTTAATTGATATATATCGTTTGCAAATTAACGATATATATCGATAAACAGGTTTATAATCGATATATATTAAATATCGATACAAATCGATAATAAGGTAATAATCGATAAAATACAGTTATCGATTGTCATCGAATCTATTTCAATCGTCATAATTTT